CCGACATGGCAGAACCGCAAGGCTGAAAACTTGAAAAAATCAACTGCCTAAAGCTTTCAGCCTTCGCGGTCATTGCCGATATCGGCTGCTCAACACGTTATACGTGTGAGTGCTGAAAGCTATGGTACGTATACCATGAAAAGCTGAGTTGGGATGAAATGGTGCCCCGGTAGCGTAACTGGTAGCGCACTTGCCCGGAAAGCGAGAGGTGGGGTTCTAGTCCCGTCTGGGGCGAAAGTTTTGTTCACAACCCAGCATTCTTGTGAAACATTCGCAAGGCGAACTGCGGCCAAAAACAGCAGATAACAATCATAAGTAGTATTTGGTTCCAGATATGGTTAAGCAATCCGATATTTACGCTGCTATGATGGCCTTGGGTCTTATGGCTGCACTTGCCGTGAATGCTATGCTTGAGCGACGGAAAGAAGAGAGGCCACTGCCCAAAATACCAGTACAGTCTTGGGACAAATATGTAGAATTGCAAAAGAAAAGCGGAAAAGAAATTTAAAAATTCCCTTTTGCTAGTTTCCAGTCTCCAGATTAGATTGCTAGAGTAGTTTATTAGTACAAAAGATCATTCAAACAGATGTTGCTGTATTAATGCTAAGAAATCAGTGAAGTTTTATCACATGGTTGTTTCATACTGTTTTGCTCAGAACTTTGTTTATGTATAAAAAAATAAAATTACCATTTTCTTTTGTTTCTGGATTATTTATTGCGGTATTTCTTCTGCCGGTCCATGACTAACTGCTATGTTTGCTCATAACCGCTCCATTATACTTTTTATCTTCTAAGGAAAGGTTCATGTCATCGCTGGTCCATGGTCCAAAAAAATATTGAAAGGTCCTAGGTGAGTTTGGAAGCACAGCTTTAAGTCTTGTCGATCAAAATTCCGAGAAAGTTTCGCCATGCAGTTTAGTTCAGTGGTTAACACTGTCAGCACAAAAGCTGTGCTCTTCAAACTCATTTTTTTCTCGTTTTCGCTGTTAAAAGGATATAGGTGACGAGGTGTTTTATCGCTTGCATTATGCAATCCATTGTCATACATCATCATAGCGTTTTTGTTTTTACGTTTAAATTCAGCCAATATATCTTTTCTTGCGAAACTACCCACGGATGTACGAGAGAGCTTTTCTCAGCTCTTGTTGCCCTATTGGTTCCAACCAGTTATATCACACTTGTGTTCGGATGCAGTGCTCGAAATTCGAAATGTTTGAAAGCTGCTATTCTTTGGATTTCATAGAGACAAAATTTGTTAACGCGGAAGTTCTTCCAAAATTCTTTGTACTCATGGGACCCTATCCATCTCAAATCTCACTGATTTTAAATCACTTTTACGTCATATAAGTTGATTTCCGGTGATTTCTTGTGGAAATGGGGTTTTTATTAATTATTGCTTTGAAAGTGGCGCTCGTCTTTGTTAAATTTCGCATCACAACTTAAGGAATCAAAGTCAAAGGTATTACGGTAGTAGAAAGGAGAAGGGATAATGGGGTCCAAATGTGTAAGCAATATGTCTAATTGGAACGGCCGCTAGACCGACGTCATAGTCGGCGACGGACCAAGCGATGGAGCGATCGCGATCGCTCCATCGCTTGTCCGTCGCTTGCCAATCGCTCTCGGTCGAGCGATTGGCAAGCGATTGCGCAATCGCTTGCAAAGTGCACAAGCGACGGGCGATGGCTCTGCTCGATCGATACCGCAGCCGACTGCATTCGACTGGGGGCGGGGCCAATCGCCCGTCGCTTGTGCACTTTGCAAGCGATTGCGCAATCGCTTGCCAATCGCTCGACCGAGAGCGATTGGCAAGCGACGGACAAGCGATGGAGCGATCGCGATCGCTCCATCGCTTGGTCCGTCGCCGACTATGACGTTCGGTCTTAAAGAGGTTCAAAACACTAAAATGAAGGGCTGGTTTTTGGGAGGTGGTCGACGATGTGGACAGCATAAGAGATACTGGCCACCCAGTTGAGAACAACTCGAAGATGAGAGAGCATAGGGGATGAGAGATACGCAGACACCAAGACGAAGGTTTACGAAGTGGTTGTTCATCGATGCATGAGATGAGCACGTAGGAAATTCATATGTGTTATGAGATTATTTCAAAGCGCGAATAATTACGTTTGACGATTACAACAGCAAGGGATGCCTTGACATTCGTGTGAGGTCAAAACAAATATGTAGATTTTCATAGATCTAGCTCAAATTCATCTACGAAATGTCACATGGGCCTCAAATCCCCTCGAAGTGATATTTAGAGAATAGACGTCGGAGCAGGGAAGGCAGTATCTGTGAGCTGTACATGTGTTATGTTGCTCAAAGTAACAACCATAGATCAAAGCCGGGGTTACAGCGGTCAATAATGAAATTGTGGATGGCGAGTTGACTGAGAATGGAAAAGGAGGCAATGCGAACCGCCGATGAAAAGGACTCATTCCTTGAGCTGAGGAGGGGCGTTTCGGATGAGTTGTTTGAGCTTCGCTTGATGTGATGTGATGCTCGCGCGGCCTACCACCTCCCACAGTATGGATACTTCGACACGAACCTCGTCTGGGGTTGTTTCTTCAATGTTTATCAAGTCTTAGGCTGCAATTACATTTTAGTAAGGGCCTACAGCTCTATAGGAACCTGAACCTTCTCGATTCTCGACCCAAAGCTTACTGCTGTCGTAGTCAGTGGTTATTGTGTAAGGTTCGTTTGAGAGATGATCGCTTGCCCCTCAGTGCTCATTCTGTGGACCAGATTTGTCTGATTTCTGATTGTAAATGGATGCGTGGAGCGCCTCATAAAGGAACGACCAGCGTTGATCCTCAACTTTTCTTTTAGTTAAAGAGCAATTTTTAGAGATGGGCGTGTTTGTGGGGCACGTCTTTTTTAAGCGTGTTGAATGGAAAAATTGTGGTGCTCATAAAATAAATTCAAGAACATCTTCAGTATGGTAGTGCGATGGAAAGGGGGGGGGTAGGAGGTAGTCACATGGTCGAATCGATTCCTGCCACACTTTCCGGGAACGGAGGGCAGGGGGGGCAGGAGGGGAGAGGGAGAGAACCAGGGGCGGCTGTTATGTTACCTGGAGGGTTCAAATAAGTTGCTTTTTGGAGGACAGTGGCTGCGTGGGGTACATTTTTGCAAAGTTGCTGCAAAATTGCGGGAAGTGCGTCTAATCAGTGGCGTCAGCCGAGAACTTGCCCTCTCAGCTTGTGCTAGTGTTGCAAAAATTTCGCTGAATCAAGGGGTTTTCAAGTGCGTTATAAAAGACGCGACGAGGGCATTCTGAACTGAATGGTCCTCGGCGTCGTTATGGCTTCATTACTCAGGTTATTTATTTGCAGTCATTCTTTGCTTTTCCAAAAAACTCAGTGCCCCACGGGCCTAGTGCTCGACTTTCGTCAGGACCAGACGCATGAAGTAATAGTTACAATCATTTATTAGACTATGCTGAATATTTAATTCCGAAAGAAAGTATATAAGATGTAACGTAAGTATGAGGAAATTTTATATATGTTTGCTTATTTAATTATTAATCTGATTGTGACAACATCTCTCTTTGTTCCTAGAAATTCAGAAAAATAAATTCAGTCAGAGTAAAATTCCAAAACAAAGTTAGAGTTGACTATTCAATGGTTTAGATACCCGTATGTCTCAAGCCGGACCATTCAATCGAGTACAGTCTGTTTCAGCACCGTTAAAAGGCTCATTTCCATTGGATCATGAGGGAACATGCAAGCTCGAAATGCTCAAGTAAGCTCAAGTTCGCTATTTTCGTGGGAAGGTCAGGATTTCTGTAAAGCGCTTGAGTTCTTCTGGGTGTTCTACAATTTACCCTAGCTAATCCGTCGTGAAAAAAAATAGAACTGTTACACGAAACTTGAAACTTGACAGTTATGGTGAAGCAGCCCTGGTACAAGCGAATTAGACGCAGCTCCAAGGGGTGTATTAGTATTGTAGGGACCTAAAGTTGCATAAACAACTGCCCAGCAAATCTGTAGCTTGATTGGGTATGGTTCTCGCCAAGAAAGTTGGGACGACTAAGCTAAAAGGTTTGTAGAGCGTTAGGAAGTTGACGAGATCGACGATGTTAGATTAGGGGAAGCGAAATCAGCAAACAAAGCTCTTTTCAGGTACATGTGTTGTCTGCATGAAAACAAACATCTAAACAGTGAATGCCGAGATGTGGCAAAAGCGTACTTCAAGTGCCGAATGGACCATGGCCTTATGGAAAAGGATGAATGGGATCGCCTAGGTTATGGAGATAAGTAGCTGCAGAGCTTCTCTTCCTTTCAAACGTTAGACCTTTTTACTTGAGAACTTAGCAGGTTTTACGCTGTTCGTTTCCCTCGTTCTTGTTGCATTCTTTGGATTTTTTTCTAATGCGTTAATGACTGACGGTCATGTAAGTAATAATTATGTAGTGAGTGCCAGTAACAGGCTGTCAGCCATATTGGTTTCACTTTTGCAATTTAGCAATTTTTAAATGAATAGTGTTTGCTAGTGGTAAGCCGTAAGCTGCCCACAAAAATGAAATTTGATGCCATGTTCGTTCTAATCCGTTTTGATTTGGTTAGTTTGAGATTACTAATGTTTCTCTTCTTCTGCTTTCTTGAGGCTTTCCTGCATGAGGGTACATAGGGGCAGTTTATCCTCATGAATCTTTCATTTGCTCATTTTGATCTTCACAAATTACTAAACTATATAATAAAAATGTTTATAAGAGGAATAAAGTAACGTCAAGCAAGAACTGTAGAAAACTAGGTTTGGGATAAATACGAGAGATCGCTAGTGTGTTCTGCTCACTGATTTTCTTGGAGGTGTATTTCAATTCTTCTCCTCAGGTCAGGTCACTTCAGATCAGAACCCCTCTTATTCGCTCGTATCAAGCCTGAGCCTCAGCCAAACCTCAGGCTTCAATCGGTGCGCACCTCTGGTGACCTTACCTAAGAGAAGAACTGGATGTCTACTCATCTTTGGGTGCAGCGGGGGCACATTGTGCAGCGCGGGGAAATGCTGCCCATAGGAATTGTTCTTACTCGTTGAAAGTTTTCATTTAGCTCCAACCCCTGGGGCTTCGGTCGACGGACTACTCGAATTCAACCCTTTGAACCGGTGCTCCCGCCTGTACTCTCACCAGAACAGCGGGTCATGAATACTGTGATTTCACATACTCAAACTTTTGCCACTTGCTCACCTACCCTGGGAACCCCGTCTTCCCAAGGGCTTAGTCTAGGGTTCTCACTTTCCTCCACGATATTTCGAGCCGAGCCATGCTTCTGAAAAGGTAGCAAAGGGTCGCCTATAGTGGCTGGATTAAGGAATGGCGACAAACGGAACCCCCGTCTACACTCACCAGCGGGAAAATATGTAACCCTTCAGATAGCTTTGAAACTTACAGATTACAGAGTCGAAGAGATTTCTACATGAGCAAGTTCAAGAAACCATATCAATTGGTTCTATTCATTGAACACTCATTGTTAATCGCTGTTTGTATTTTGATCTTGGGAAGTGATACAAAGTCTTAAAGGTATCTAACATGGTAAGGCCATGATGGAGTGGAGCGAAAAATTGGGAGTTAAAGTGATACAAATCTGAGGTGAGAACGTCTCAACAATTCATTTCGAACTGTAGGTATTAGCAGACACATGGCTACGGCTTTGTACGTCGCTTCGTAAACGCATATTATGGATGATGTCACGTTTTGTGAAAGGGTTCCCTTTATGGTGTCAGCAAAATTAATGGCATCAGTTGATCATGACAACCCAAAAATGCTGATAAAATCTTGAACATAGAAGTAATTAAGCCCTGATCCTATGACACACAGCCCAGAAATAAGGGTATTTTGGAAGATCGGGGTGCTGAATAACTCTTACAGATGAAGTATGTTGCGATAAATGCTGAACATCAATAATAATCGTGAATCAGTACTTTCACAACAAAGCGACTGCCCTTCTAAGAATATTATCATACATATTGTCATCGTGAACCCACCATTAATTAGTAGGACTCCGCTGTGACGACTGTTTGTGAAATTCTTGCTGATTTCAGTTGTTCTCTTCTTGTCCATTATTGTCTTTCGTAAACCCTGAACAGAAGTGAGAACCTTTCGAAGAATTATTCGATAAAGAAACTTTTGAGTGAATTTTTAAACGAATGGTCCCCATACTTTTTTTTCGGAATTTAGACGTTTTCGAAGATGTTTGTTCCTTGTTTAATTGTTGCTATTTTCCCGTACCAGCTTGTACCGGCTGGTGTTATCAGCTCACAACGCCACGGGTGCTTTCCGCCTCGTACGGTGCCTGGAACAGTTGATAACTGTTAAGCGATAGCGGACAGCATCCATTCGAGATTGCAGATTGTCGGAGAAATTTTTTGCATGACTGTCTGACCATACCGCAATGACCTTTAATTATCAGGACGGACAACAGTGGCAAGCGGACGGTTGCGGTCATTTGCAAGTGCAGTTGAGTGAGAAAGAAACTTTCAATTTAGGAACTACAGCAATAAAATCAGAACAGATGAAAAGGGGAAATTCCGAGGATGGATTACATAACTCCAAAGTCTGAATCGCTACAACTAAACGCGTTTCACAGCGCGACACTTTTTTAGCTGCGGGGACCCCTCGTCCACCTGTGAGTACCACACCCTACCTGTCACCTACTATACCCTACTTACCTATCTCGCAAGCATTATGCCTAGCAACAATTTCTGAGTGTTACCACCGGAAATGACTCTTTATGCTTATTCTTGTTCTTACTTTTTTCTTTCATTTTATTCCTTCTTTTATGTTCTTTTTCGATGTTCAAATTTAGCCTTAAGCAACAAATACTGCTTGGGCAACTGCTCACATCTTGCCCTATACCCAAACACGAGGAGAGCCCCGTATTTTTTGGGGCGTTTATGTAATTTGATTAGATGCTTTACGCACTTAACTCACAATCAGTTTTGTACTTGAAAACTCATCAAAATAGTAGCTTGGGGAATCAATCAAAAGCAGGAACAGACTCCGCACCTTTAGCGTGTACTGAAATGACCTGTCTTTTAAAACTCTCACAGTTGAACCATGGCTTGTGATGCGACCCAAAAAGGGAGCACGAAAGGGCGGAAAGGTCCGAGAACAAAAATGGACAAAGAACAAGGAAAAGGTTTTCCACTACCGTTGGAGAGTTGCATCTAAATCCAAAGTATAAGGCCAATGTCAAGAAGGGATCGTACATCGAATTCGCACAGCAAGTGTGTAGCAGCTGAGTGTACCTGCTTGGTCGTCGCGCACTAGTAGCTATGTTATCCCTGGAGCTTTTGTCTTTCTAGGGAAATGTACCATCAATTTCTCCGCCCCGGAGGGCTGGCTTGTAGAGTTGATTTGGTAATGGTACGGTAGAACCTCTGGAGGCCAGCAGTGAGCCACCGCGCGCTTGAGGAGAATCAGATCGCCACAAACGAACAGTTGAAGGCAAAGTCCGGCACTGCTAGACGAATTGAAGCCGTTGCGCGGTAGAACTGGAAATAGAAATGGGAGTGATACGCAATGTACATATGTAGCTAGGCCGGAGCGAACTTAAAGCAACAGTTCAGGAACGGTTTCGCGGGAAAAAACCACCAATAATGAAGTTGTAGATGAAAACCAGACGATTAATGTATGAAAAACTGGAAAAAAAACGTCGGGGAGGGTCTTAGACAGGTACTCTCCCTCTGCCGCTCAGCAATGGATAAAGACGCACGTTGGACGAGTTGTCTGAACGTGCCCGCTGTAAACGCGCTCCATTTTTCAATCAATTTTCCCTGTGGTCCCAAAACGAGCACGATTGCCGACGCGTCCAATGACGGCCGGCAAGGGGGCGGGATTGGGGAAATCCCCAAGAACACCCATGTTTGAGGGACTTTCCACCCTGTTTTTGAGTTTCTGAGGTAAGTTCGTTTATTATTTCCACTGCATATGTTCTTCACTAGGGCTCGTGTATCCCTCAGTAGTAGTGGCATTGAAATTTTCGGACCCTCCCTGAACTGTTGCTTTAAAAGTTGAGGAGGCAGCTCAAAATGCGATCATCGCCTAACGCCACCATCACAATCCCCGCCACAGCCCGAATGCTACTTCGCTTCTGCTGTTACTGGAGAGGCTTTTTCCAGCATTGTCACGGCTTCTTCCCGATTTTTTTTTTCATTTCCAACATCAGATTACGTGTCAGCTTCCACTTCCTAGCATAATAATGCTCCCACTCAATCCGGAACTTGGCCTTCAATTGACCCGGCCCACAGCCGATACTCCTGTAGTCCATGCATGCTTGTAACCTGTGTAGCAGGAAACAAATGCATGGCTTATCCCAAGGAGTTAATTACCAACATCTTATGCGGAATATTCTCTCTTCTACCTGCTTTTGATCTAATAGGTGTAGATAATTGTGTCTTGGTATGAAAGTAATTGTGGTGACTTCAATGATGACAAGGAATGAGAAAACTGACAAAAAACTGAAAACACAGCCCAGCGACTATCTAGGTGGATTTGCTGCCTTCACTGAAATCCCATTAGTTGGCTCAGTCTTTCTATTGTACTGTTCCATATCGGAGAAGCGACTAACCAATGAGACCCCGCAGAGGCAGGGTGCAGACCCCGCCCATATGGTCGGCGCGCTGTGTGGGTTTGAGGGTTCCTAGCTTTTTTCCTGCTTTGTTGATTACAGTTGGACTATTCACTACGGCTTACGCTCATTCTCAAGCTCGATAACCCCTACGTATTCAACAGAATGCTGAATACGGGCAAAACTCCTCGCCCAGAAAGAAACTGAACCCGCGCCTTTTGCTTCGCGGACAGTTGTGCTACCGATTACACCACCAGCGTACCGGTTCACTTCAACCCAAGCTTTCGATGTACGCTTCTTTTCAAAAAAAAA